CAACAAGGTGTTTGAAATACCTAATGGATTCGAATATGGCGAGCAGTTCCCGGTCGTAAGTCGAGTAGTTTTTTTCTGTGGAGCTTAGCTTCTTAGAGAAAAATCCTAGGGGTCGCCAATTTCCGTCTGTGCGCTGTTCTAAAACTGCTCCGATTGCGAAATCGGAAGCATCGCAAACCAACTGGAGTTCAGATTTTGCTGTGGGAAAAGACAAAAGCGCAGCGTCTGCTACACTTCGTTTGCAAGCTTCAAATGCTATATTGAGTTCTGGTGTCCACTCAATTTTGCGTTGATCATTCTTCTTAACATTTTTTAGCAACTCAGTGAGCGGTGCTTGTATGTGTGATGATCGAGCCAAACATCTGCGATAGTAATTTATGACGCCCAAGAAACGACCCAGCTGGCTTATATTTTCAGGGCGTGAATAATTTAAAATAGCATCTATGCGTTCGGTGGGTGGCTTAATTCCAAACTCGTTGATCGTATAGCTGAGGAAATTTACTTGCGGCTGTGCGAACTGGCATTTGCTCACGTTAATGCTTAAACCATGTTTCTGTAGAACTTCCAATACAGCTCGAAGATGTTCTTCGTGTTCAGCCAGGGATTGCGATGTTATAAGTATGTCGTCGATATAACAATAAACGAAGTCCATGCCGCGGAAGATGTTGTCCATAAAACGTTGAAATGTTTGAGTCGCGTTTTTTAATCCAAACGGCATGTACTGAAACTCGATCAGTCCAAACGGGGTGCACACCGCTGTTTTTTGGATATCGCTTTCTGCCATGGGAATTTGGTAATAGGCTTTGACCAAATCGAGTGTTGAGAAAATCTTCTTTCCTTGCAGTTGCTCCGTAAAGTCGTGTATATGGGCTATTGGATAGCGATCAGGGATTGTAATTGAATTCAACTTCTGATAATCTCCGCATGCCCGCCAGCCACCGTCTTTTTTGGTCACCATGTGTAGTGGGCTGGACCAAGGACTTTTTGACGGCCGGCATATACCTTGTTCAATCAAGAAGTTTATTTCTTTTTTGGCAGTGGCAAGTTTTTCACCGGATAGGCGTCGTGATCTATCAGCAACTGGTATACCATTTGTTTCTATATAATGACAGACGTCGTGTTGCGTGGATTTGTTGATAGAAGGTCTTGTCACGTTGACAAATTCGCTTAACAGCTTTTGAAAATTCGAAACACTCTGCACTGTGGAAACTGATATGTGTTTCGCTTGTGCTAGACATGCGGGTGTTGAAAGACCAGTAAGCGAGTCGATTAATCTTTGATTTTTAAGATCGATGAGCAATTGAAAGTTGCTCAAGAAGTCTGCCCCAATAATAGCTGTGTGAACATCGGCGATAATGAAAGGCCAGGTAAAGTTTCGGCGGAGACCCAAGTTCAGCTGTGTGACGTACTTTCCATAAGTATGAATGACGGTCTGGTTCGCAGCGTACAGTTCCAAATCGTTTAGAGTGGTTTTTTGTCTAACCAGCGTTCGTGGTATGACGGAAACTACAGATCTTGAGTCGATCAGAAAACGGATGTGAGATGAGCGATCGGTGATGTGTAGACGCTGTTCCTGTGGAGCAGCTCGTTGAATTGTGGGTTCGCTGGTTAAGTACTTGCTGCCGTCGACCAGCGTGTTGGACGACAGCTCCTCTAGTTTAACGACGAGGAGCGGGAGCAAGGGGGGCGGCGTTTGTGGGCGTTTTCTCCGAATCGCTCGTGGTAGTAACATAGCTTCTCTTGGGACTCGGAGGACTGGTAATTAGCATTTCCCGTTTGTGGTCGGTTACGCGATGGGCTGCGGGAGCGACCTTGGAATTGGAGACGTTTGACATCCTTTTGTAAATCATCAAACTTTTGTGAAAGCGAACGCAGCTGCTCGTTGACTTTTTTCCAAGGATCTTCGGTAGAAGCAGCGCAAATGGATGAATCAGCAGCAGTCGAAGTGTTCGTGCTGATGGCGAAAGTAGCATTGTGGTTCACTGCTTCGAGCATTTTGACTGCGATTTTGGCCAGCTTATCCAGATCGGTCTCTTCCCAGATGGTGAGGGTAGGGCGAATTGATGCCGGCATCTCTGCCAGGAAAAGTGTGAGGATAATGTTCTCGCTGCCCGGATCCGGAGCTAGTCGACGCATGTTGGCCAAGATTTCGGATGGTTTCAGACCAGATGTATCCCCACCTTGTAGCAGTCGGCGTAGTTTCGACTCTGGGGATTCAGAATACTTTTGTAATAAGCGATTCTTTATTGCTACATACTTGTTTTCGTCAGGTGGTCGAATGACTAAGTCTTCCACAGCCAAAACCACATCCGCCTCCAGGTGAAGAGTGACAAGGTCGAACTTGTCGGTGTCGTCCACGATGTGGTGTAATCGGAATGAGCGCTCCACTTGCGCAAACCATAGCTGAGGGTTGCTATGTGCGAATTTCGGCAAGTGAATTGTCGTACGTGTGCGTGTGTGAGTAGTCTCATCTCGGTTACCAGGGACACTTGTCCGAAGTGCCTCAAGTTGCTGTTGCAGATCTCGGATTTGTGCAGTTAAATCAGGATTGGAATCCGGCATGATGAAAGATGATGAATCGGCTGGATCGCTTTCTTCGTCGAAATAAAGGCGTCTTCCTTTTATATTTCTTAGATCGTATTGGCGTCTTCTCATTAAATGCGCAATTTCTGATTGCGAAAGTGCATGTGTGTGTTGCGAATTTCAAAAAATAAAGTTAATTTCGCACGATGAGCAGGGTTTTAATGTTTTAACTTGTCGGGGTCACCACTATGGCGAAGTATATTTGCCATTAACGTTTATTGATAATAATGATACATTTAATTAAGGTAGTTAGTAAAGCTCGCGTCGCTGTATCGCTTCTTGAAACTCAACTGCTTTTCACTCGTCGTTGCAACATTTTCCGCCAGGTTGGCAGGCTCTAGTTGGCGCTGCAACCATATGAGGTTGCCACATAAAATTTCGTTTGGTGTTTAAAAGATAAAAAAATTTTTTTTGTTTTATATATGAAAAGGAAAAGTTTTATTTCGATACCATTAAAACTTTGGCCATTGCTGAGTGTTTTGCAATATTACACGTTGGTTCTTCAATAATTTAAAGATTTAACGATAATTTTAATGCTGAATGAGCCGTTTGGCATCCTTCTAACAATATGGCTGCTATTCCCGAAGAAGCAACTGCAACAGCTATGTTAGATCTCGCCCGAACATTTGCTAAAGCTAATGACATGAGGAATGTCTTGCCAGTTCCACCAGGGGCATCTAGGAAATATAAACCACCATTTTCTTCATCGATTGCCTTCATTAAAATATCATAAACTTTCTTCTGTTGAACTAATAAATTTAATTCCTGGTGATCATATTCACGTTCCCGTTCTAATTCTCGATTAAATGCCTCATTCATTTCACGATTTGGCGCTGGCATTTTAACCTGATTAATAAATTACCGCACATGAGGTAACACATATCTTCGATCAAGAGTAAAACCCGATTATGTACCTCATTCATCTCAATGTCGAGATTTCTGCCCAGTATCGCGACGTTTGAGCATAATATCTCGGTTTCCAAATTGTTCACAATCAGGATGGCGACTTCGTCTATTGCTGGAGCATTAACTGTCCTTTCATGTGTTCCAGATGGTCGTTTATCTGCTTTTATGACAACTTTATAGTCATCATTTGGCATGCGCTCTAAAGCACTCTTAAACAACCTGACCATCGCATGATGTTCATGAAGCAGACACTGCAAGTCTTGAAGAATTACTCGCTTCATCCCTTCATTGATCGCTAGACGTCGATCAAGTTGTTCTTCCATGTTGCCCATGAAATATATTTGTAAAAAAAATTTTTTGTGTATCTTCGAAAGGTAGTAATGATCCAATTCGATGGTGAATCTGCCCTTGCATTTAAGATAAAGTAAGTTATTCTTTAACTAAATTCTATGTAATACCAAAAAAAAAAAACCTTAAATGTCGGATTAAACCTCGTTCTTCGATAAAATCTGCCCCAAATAACGTCATTTGGAAACAACCATTGTATTTTCGAGTATTTGCAGGAAAGTGGCGTGATTCTTGTGTTTCACCACAAAGCAGTGAATACAATGGCTCAGGTGGCGGAGTCAACAATGGCAATTTAACTTTACCATTAAAGCAGCATAATCCAGGCGTTTCTCCGTAAAACTTCAACGCACCGCAATACTTGCAAACAACGTCCATTTGCCCAATGCAAACGCTGGGATGTAAGCTGTAATCAGTGATGCAATCGTATTGAAACACTGCTCGATTCAAATCAGCAATTGATAAATATCTTTTGCGTCGCAAATTATCTATTTCTTGACCTCTGTTGTAAGCTCGACGATTCTGCATTGTCAACCGAGCCGTGTTACGGGTTGCCTCACTTTGTTCTTCTTATTGAGAAGCACGAAGTCGACCCATACAAACGCGGCGCTGTTCACGTGCAATGTTTTTTTCCCCGTCAGTCCTTTCATTTACAGTATTTTGTAGTCTTCTTGAATTACGGCTTTGTCGGGAACGATTCGATCGTCTTGGTTGCGGCATTATTAATTAAACTTCACTACACTTCAATTCACTAAAACCACGAAAAACTTCACTTCACTTCAATTCACCAAAATCACAAATAACTTCAATTCACTTCAAAAAAATTGAGTTAAAATGCTATGGTAGTGTGTGCTTGTCAGTGTGATGAGGTAATAACTCAGTTTATATGCGATTTTTGGTATGTCGAACGGAATAAAAAGTACCCTAAGTCCTTTTCCGGGCTCTAAGCTACCTTCCTACCAATTTTCAGCCAAATCTGTTCAGCCGTTCTTAAGTTATAAGTGGTGTAACTAACACAACTTGCTTTTATATATATAGATATTTCTACAGTCCCTATAAATGAGCACTAAGTAAATGTATAAGCTAAAGACTGTTAATCTCTTAAGGGAGAAAATTCATCAAAGAAGTAAAGTAAAATAGGGGGAAAAAATCAGATTACATACCGCAAACTTGGGAAATCCAAAAAGAAGGACAAAGAAATTAATAAAATCGCATAGAAATAACAATGTATAAACATCAGTTGATAATCGTGCCTTATGTCTCAAAGTTAAAAAAAATTTATTAAATCCAGACAGCAGTCCCCCTTTATGTCTGGAAAAATTTAATAAAAAAGTGTTTTATGTTTTAAAAACATTGTAACATACCCTAAACGCTGCATTTTTCTTCGATAATATTCCGATTCAATGTTTTGATATACATATTTGTTTTCCATACCTGAGCGTAGAACATCGTCCATGTCTTGCTGAAACTCGATTGTACTAGTAGGATCCCTTTTTATTGTTTTTTTTGTTTCGGTACCCGCCTCTTCCCTACAAAAGAAAAAGTGTTGCGGATCATTATTATAATTGTAGTTATTATATAGATTAATATATAAAATAAGCCATTTTAGGGGAAGACTCTCCTACAGCAAAAAAAAAAAAGGTTTCAAGATGTGACCCCTCTTGCCGACTACCCGGGGTAATGGAATTAAGGGGTTTGGTGGGAGGGGTGGGGGTGGTTTCGTGGACCAGCAGGTAGAGCGCTGGTCTCCGAATCTGAAGGCCCGGGTTCGAACCCCAGGCTCCCCGAGAAAAAGAAACGGTCTCTTTTTTCAATTCTCCACCATTTCTATGATTTATCGCTCACTTAACAATAGTAACAAATTTCGACTCCCCGGACCAGCACACCCCCTCGTCCACGTTACTATGGACACAATAATAGAACTTTCGTCACTTCTAGATGGCGCCAGGTGGCAACCCCATCGCTAGGATAAGTCGCTAGGTTCTCGCTGGTTCTCGAGTGGTTTATATATAACAAGCAATCAGAAAAATAACGCAGCTCCGTTAGCGTCGCGATGCAGTGCAATGCTCAGACTGAAGCTCCCTTTTTCCAAATTCTCCGCAGGTATTGGGCACCGTGGGCCCAGAATGAATGAAATTGAAATTGTGTGCATAGGCGTGAGCCACTAGAGCTACTTTGAGGGAGGCTATTTTTGTTTCGGCAACCGACAGATCTTTGATACCGAACGCTTCAGCTGTCCTTGCTGGGTTTTTAGCGTCACCACGCGAACCAAGCCATCCTGACCCAGGTGAAGCTCGATAATTCTTCCGAGCAGCCACTGCGCTGGGGAAATTAGTCTATAGGTTCTCCGAACTTTGTGACCATTTTGGACGTTGCTGCAAATCGCTAAGCCAATCCCTACTCCAGCAGTCCCAAATATGGCGCAACATTGATCGCGGAAGCACGAACTGCTCCCTAAACATGGAAGAGGCTTGTCGGTATTCCGTGGGCGCAAACATAGAGTCGCCGATTAAGAAGTCGGCCGAAGTGAGCACATCCAAGTCATCGACGTCCGCTGTGAGCGGGCACACCGGCCTTGAGTTAAGGCACACTTCTATGCTGACTAGCACCTTGGTCATCTCCTCATAGGTAAGCTTTCGATCCACGAACACGCGCTTGAGATGGAGCTTGACCGACTTAAAGTTGGCCTCCCAAAGCCTACCAAAGTTGGACGAGTGAGCCGGACTAAAATGCTAAGTGCCTCGTAGTTGGGACCACTTCGGAGCGATGAGCTTTTTATAGTCATTGCGGAATTGCTTCCCCAAACCTTTAAGTTGACGTTCTGCTCCACCAAAATTGGTTCCGTTATCGCTATAAAGATGCTAAATCATCCCTCCTGCGCGTCCCCTCGGCTTCTGCAAAGCGTTGAAAACAAAACGCCTTAGGGAGGCGACCATGGGGAGGCGACAACGCTCGACTATACGTGGAAAAACGGACGATAAATGCAGGGCATCGAGAGACGTTGTGAATCCAGAACTTATCAGCCTTGGCTCGGATGGTAAGATCGAGCGGCAAACTGCTTCGGCCAAGAAACTCGCTCGCGCGACAACCAGCATGATCATCACCACAGGGTAAAATTCTGCAACTCTTTAGATGTCAATCCTCTGGTCGCGCAGTCCAAATCCGACTCGGTTGGCCACCTTCCACCTACGTCTCCATTCAGCCAGTGCAATACGATAGTCGCGTCCGTCCAAAAGAAAGTCTCCACCGGATCTCCGCCAATTTGAACCTCTGTGGATAACCACCTGACAAGCTTGACTACCAGTACTGCTCCGCTAAGTTCTATCTTGGGTATGGTTAACGGCTTGAACAGTGTGACCTTCGTCTTGGCCGCCAGCAAGGTCGTGCCGACGGTCCCGTTGACGTGCTCGACCCGCAGGTAAACAGAGGCAGCATACGACGACGATGACTTTTCGCAAAACACATGCAGCTGCACAACGCTACAGAGGCCGGATCGTACTCAGTCCAGCGACTGATGGCGGTGTCCTCGATTCCTAGGAGGTCGGAGCGAAATGCTCGTCAACGCTCCAGAATCGCTGCTGGCACCGGTGAGTCCCAGTCCAACGACACCTGCACTCCCTCGCTGTTCGCCACCTTGACCAAAATCGCCTTTTTAAAAATAAGCTTTCCAATGATGATGACCGGAGACCTAGCGGAGGTCCTAGGTCCTTTTCGTCGTGCAATCTGGAAAGTCTAATTTCATTTTAAACTTGAAACAGTCGGAGTCTGGGAGCCAATACATCCTCAATACCTTTACCGTATCCCTTGTATCCCAATTTAAAGGCATCTGGCAGCATCGATGCTCCCCCAACTGGGGCAGAAAGAATTAAGCCCGTGACATTTTGATTTATTTGGTTTTTATTATTTTAATAATTTATCACTTGCAAGCTAAACAAATTCCACCGTGCAATGATTTGCGCCAAAATTCTTGACCACCAAAGAAAACTAGCGGAATTTATGTAAGTCTATTTCCATATATGCAGTATAGGCAATGAACTCCCGAACAAAACGCCGCTGTAAAACGTTTAAAGCGGGAACGAAGGCACAAAGAGAAATCGAGAAATACACTTTACGATGCGCGGGGGCGGGTGCGTGCGAGGTTCTAGCGGAGTTTATGTTGCGCTTATGTACATATAACTGAAGTTATGTTTATTCGCGATCACCAACTTTAAACGAACGAAACAAGAAAGTATTGTAACAGGCTGGGTATTAATTATGAATACTAACTTATATTATTATGATATTGTTATATTATATTGTAAGCGCTGGTCACACTTCTGATCTCTCGAGTGAGGATATGCTCTCTCGAGAGAGAGGATGTGCTCTCTCGAGAGAGTATGAAGCTGAACATAAACGGGGGTTGAAAGTTAGCTGCCTGCGAGCAGCGAGTCAGTTCGTATTGAATGTTAAAAAAAAAAAACACAATAAAAAGATCCTGAAACAATCTCAGTAGTGGGATACGGAAAAAAAATAATATTTAAAAATTCAAAGTTTAAATTTCAATTTATAAAAACAAAATAAAATGGATTTGCAAATACCTTATGACAATAAAGTATCCGGAAATTCCCGTTTAAATTGCCCGCGTAAGAGATATTTGAAAATTTTTTTTTTTGCCAAGTTGGTAGGACCATTCTCCATTAAGAAGCAAGATTTGAGCGGGATATGTCAACTAGTTTGTTTACAACAGCTAGTTATGTAAGTTCACCTCAGCTGTGCTCCACGATTTTTGCAATGGATATAAAAATTGAACAACGAGTTTGTCTCAAATTTTGTGTATCCAACGGAATTTCGTGCGCTGAAGCGTTGCGAATGTTACAAAAGGCTTATGGTGAATCAGTTTTATCGAAAACTCAAGCATATGAAGGTATAAAGCATTCAGTGAAGGACGAGAAGTCGTGGACGACTTGCCTAGGTCTGGACGACCATCCACCTCTAACACCGATGAAAACATCAGCAAATTGTAAGCAATCGTTCTTAAAAATCGTCATGTGAGTATTAGAGAGGTAGCACAACACCTGAACATCTCTCGCGAATCCGTTCGTTTAATTTTGGTGGAAAATTTAGGCATGAGACGCGTCGCTGCACGGCTTGTTCCAAAGCACCTGCATTTCTTTCAAAAAGAGCCGCAGTTGTGACCGAATTTAAGGCAAAAAACTCGATGACAACTATCGATCAACCACCATATTCACCGGATTAAGCACCCTGTGACTTCTTCCTCTTCCCAAAACTAAAATTACCATTACGTGGATCCCGTTTTGAGTCACTTGCAGCCATCAAGGAAAATTCGTTGAGGGAGCTGAAGGCCATACCAGAAAGTGCCTTTAAAAGATGTTTTGATGACTGGAAAATCCGATGGCATATGTGCGTTGCATCAGAGGGGGATTACTTTGAAGGCGATAACATGAATATCGATGAATAATCAAAAACTTTTTGTTTTATTGATAAATTCCGGATACTTTATTGTCATAAGGTAAATGATGTGTCGGTAACTCAGTTGAAGCGGTGGTTGGAACTCCTCAATTTGCCAATAACCGGATCCAAGGCGGAACTTTTGTTCGCGAGTGGTTGCTATTCCACCGGAAAACCAAGGCAAAGTTCTCCTAGCGATCCAGGAGAACGAAAAAACACTGGGCATGGAGTCAATAAATTCGGAAGACGAAAGCCTGAAGCAGCAAAATCAGGTGCAGCTAGCTAGTGGTCTGGAATCCGTGGAAGGAGTGCGCCTAGAACTGGAGAAGGCACAGAAACTTCTAGATGTTTTTCAACGACAGATCGACGGCGTCAGTTCTGGAAGCAACGTCAGTGGCGCTAAAGCCAACAGTTCGTCGAATTTGGACAGCAAGATCGAGCGCAATACCAAAAAAAGCAGCGGTTCCGAGAATGTCGAGAACATGCAAGAACGAAAGGCGCAGACGAATGGCGACAAGAGTGAGCGAGATGGCGAGAAGTGGCGTGAATGAAGAACAAGTTAGCGACGAGACGGTCGGCGCCAGCAACGTTGTCGGCGGCAGTGTTGTGCAGGAAAATTCTCGTGAACTTGTGGCACAGCTGTCAAATGCTGATAGAAATTTCTCGTCAGCTGGATTTAAGTTAGCCAAAGAAGTGCTAATGGATTTTGCTGACAACATGCCGGTTCGTTTCTGGATCTCGCAATGGGATAACATATCGTCGTTATATAATTTGGCAGACGCACAGAGAAGAGTTTTGCTGATTAGCAAATTAAAAGGCAGCGCTTTGCGATGGATGCATGCTGATGCATCTCGCTATGTCAATCGCTATGTCTCGCTTTCGGAGGCAACGAGTCGAAGGCTGTTATGAGGCGCAAATTCGAGGCGCGCTTGTGGCAACCAAATGAGAAGTTTGCTGTCTACTTTGAGGAGAAGAGCAGATTAGCCAGAGAGGTCAACATGGAGGATGACGAACTCGTGGATGGACTTATCGTGGGCATTCCAACGGTTAATTTGCGTACCCAGGCGAAGCTGCAGTGTTT